TTCTCCTCCTCCCATAGTCTCACACTATAATCCAGGCTTGCTTGGAACCCCTAGGGATCTTCCTGCCCTCAGGCTCCATAGTTCTGGCATTGTAGATGTGTGACACCATCCTTAACTTTGGTGGGAGGATTTGTCTCAAGTGCTTTTGCCACTTTCAGCATCATGGAGAAGAAATAAGCTGCCATTCAGTGTTCTGAAATGTTTTGCTCCATTGAATACATATCCACACGAAGTGATGGTTATTCTTACAACAATAAGCTTGGGACTAGTTTGTAATGCACCAGTGGCAGTTGAAACATAGGGTTTTTAAGTACAAATCAGCTTGTTAAGGAGCTGGGATGTTACACCTTTTGAAGCCCTAGTCTGAAGAATAGACAGCAACTGGCTACATGGGTTTAAAAAGGAAGACTTCCTCTGTTCAACTTGACAGTCTGCTCTTGCTCTAGGATAGTGTTGGGTAGTGAGGTCAGGGGTCTTAGAGTAGCAAAAGCGGATAACCAGCCACCAAAGCTGTTTCAGCTATATCAGAAAAGCTCAATTAGCTAATAGTGAGCCCCACAAGGGGGTAGTAGCACAAAACTATGTAGTAGAGAAGGCCTAGCAGAGGTCTACTGTAGGCTTCTCCCACTGGTTAGAGTCAACGAAGTCACACTCCAGAATGTCAGCAGATTTTAGCATTGATAACTTCCACACAAGAAACTTAAAGCAGAGGGGATAGGCATGGTCTTGTAAGCAGTGTCCATGATGGAGGAAATGCTTTAAAGTTTCATATTTTTAAATGAGCGCTTTATACTCAGTGGCTTAAAACCATTTCTCAAGTTAATGAATCAGAGCCGCTTTCTGCACGCCTGACCCCATGACGTGGTTTTCATATCTCTTGTATGCTTGGCCTTTGTCCAACATCCTTGCCCCTTGAGTAGAGTCGTCCTACCTCCACATGTTCGCTAGGCATTCTCTCTGTGACAGGCATGGAGGGATTAAAAACAAAGAAGGAAGTCTTTGTTGCAGATTTGACCAAAGTCCATAGTTTTCAGTGGTAGAACTGAGGCTGCTGATCATTTCTCTGCCTCTAGTTTAGACCAAACAGACCATTTCCTTCCTTGGCACTCACTCTACGTCTCCTTCAAGCACTGGAAAGAGCTTGGGAAAACGATGAGTATCAGACATTAGCTGGGTGGAACCTGGGCTCTTTGGGCTCATCCAACAGATCCTATGTGAGTGTGCATCTTACAGGGACATTTTATTCTTAAGTAATAATAACGGTTCCTGAAGGTTGTGTAGATGTTTCTGGAACCTGCAGGAAACAAATTGTACTAGCTGTAATGGGAGTTTAGCTTTATGTCTTGGGTCTAAGCAGCTCATAAAGTTTAACTCCCAAAATACTGTCTTTCATTTGCTAAAACAAGGTCATCTGCTTTTCCTGCTTCTTAATGTGGTGTTAATTATTTAATTATCTTGTTTTATTATAATATAAGATCATACCCACCTCCCACTTTCCTCCTCCAATTCTCCTTATATTTCTCTCCAACATATCCTGCTCCCAACCCCATGTTTTCTGTTTTCAAAAAAAAAAATTCTATCAAGACCCAATTAATACTGTCCATATGTGCATGAGTTTTGGGGCCATCTACAAGAGCACAAAAAACACATCAGTTGGAATACTCTCAAAAAAAAAAAACCCACCATGGATTCTGCCTTCCCTAGCAGCTATCAACAGCCTGAAGCTCTTCAGTAAGGTATGGGGCCTGGAGAGCTCCTTCCCCAGCTATGATGGAAATTTTGACTCGTTTGGCAGTTTGAATCAGACATGGCCCCTCATAGTCTTGGGCATTTGAGCACTTAACTCCCAGCTGGTGGCGCTGTTTGAAGAGACTCAGAAGGAAGTATGATGCTGGGAGTGGGCTTTGAGAGTAAAAATGTCTTGCCCACTTCCAGTCTGCCTTCTCTCTTTTGTTCTTGTTATTCAGGATGTGATCTCTCAGCTACTCATTCCTTCCATCATGTCTGCAGTCTGCTGCCATGCTGTCTATAGCAACATGGACTCTACCCTTTGGAACCTTAAGCCAAAATAAACTCTCCTCAAGGTTGCCTTGGTCATGTTGTTACATCACAACAGAGAAATAATCAGTCTAACAGCCAGCAGAGTGCCTTCCTACACTATGAGAACTAACCAGCAGGCAGAATGTTTCCCGATTAGTTAGAGATTAATTTCTCTATGTCCTGTAGCCAAAGTATGTGGTATCTTCAGCAACAGGCTCTTACCATTTAGTTATGGTGGACTACCAGGGGTAACAGCAATAGCCTGTGCTGCTTTTGGGACTTCTGGATCTGTCCTGACCAACAGCTCATAAAGAGGTATCCTGAACCCTGCACTGGGATTTCATTTAGTGATCCTTGTCTTCTGGGAGTGACCATGTCCATCCACGCATGGTAATTCTGTTGTGTTTAAAGTTATATTTTGGAATGAGATTACTAACTATAGAATTTCAATAAGACTCTTATACACATCCTTGGTCTTAATTAACCAACACACTACGCCCTCCTCCACTCAGACTGTGTTCAATACCTCAACCTTCAACCTCAGGCTTCTTCCATATTGTATGACAGCTACTACTTATATACTTTTAATTGAATTGCAGGGTCATAGGCTTCCATATTGCTTTTACATACCCTTCCTCGAAGTTAGCCCCTCCAACTCTTCCAGTTACCCCCATCCTCCTACAATCTTTCCTGCTTATGCCTCTCTTTCTCCAGTATCCTTCCACTCTGCTTTTGTTTTGCCTATAATCCACTGTCTTATCTTCCTTAACATAGTCCTATAATTTTATAAAGTACATACTGTGCCAGTCAGGGGACTAGGCTCAGAAATACGCGATATGTCTGTCAGTTGAGGTTAATGAGTCATGTGTTCCACTTTTCTCCTCCTCCCCTAGTCCCCTTCCTCAGCTCAGGACACCTCTATGGGAAACTTTTCCTACAGCCATTCTGCTGCTTGCTACAGAGGCTGGAGGTATGAAAGGTAGGAAACCTTTTTCCATCAGCAACCCACACATATTCTTCAAACCAATGTTCCCATTAGTAATGCTGGTATTTTGAGCTGACTAATTATGTGTACTTTCTGTTTGATTAGAGACCTCAGTTGGAAGAGGATGATTAATTCAAACCCTTAGCATATCATTGTTCCCCCTGCCTTTTTTTTTTTTTTTTTGCTTTTAGCTTATTGCTCTGAGTTTAAAACTGAGATACCTCAATCCCTAGGCTGGCCCATGAGATCTGGGGCTAGCTCATGATTACAGCTCCCCTCTAAGGCTCTAAAGTCTTTTCTTTTAAAAATATGTCTTTGATATTTCTTTGAGTACTTTAAGTATACTCACAGTGTATTTTCATTATATTTATGCCTGACTCCTCCCTCTTAATTCCTCTTAGATCTAATTCTGACCTTTAGTCCTCCCCCCACTTCCTTTCCTTTTTATTTATCTGTTTAGGTGTAGCATATAAACTTCCAATGTTCACTTCCCATATGCTTCCCACCAATCCAAAGTACTTTGAACCCATATACAGTTTCTTTCTTTTGAGATCTTCTTGATGTAGCTTATCAGTCTATTCCTGAGGTCTAGATTTTAGAGAACACTCATTTTCATTTAACTCCAATCTCTGTTACTAATTCCAAGGTGATAATTGTCTTAGTACAGTTTTTTTCCCCAGCTTTAGAGCAATGGATATTTTGAGATATGCTTGATGAAATGGGAGGTAGCCATCCTGTAGGATGCCCAGCAGCATCGTTGACCTCCACTGATTAGATGATGGTAGCATTTCTCTACTCTCAAGTGTGAAAATCAACACATTCCAGACACATTGCCACATGTCTCCTGGGGAACGAAATCTCTCCTAAGAGTGCAAACTGTGTAGGACACAGTGGGAGCAGAGTCTACCTTATTCATCCTATCAGGGGGAGCCTTCCTAAGGGCAAAGACATTTGACCAGAAATGTGAAGGGTAAGAAAAAGTTCCCTGGTGGTCAGGTTTTTAAGATACAAACAGAGAGGTACCCATAGCTACATTGACCAAACTCATATTTCCTACCACCCAAAATACATTCTCAAAATTTCTAGGGGTCACCTATCTGGTCCAACTGGCTTTTTTTTTCAATGCTTTTGCTTATATGATTAGTAGATTTCTTTCTATATGAGCAAATTTCATTTTTGCTGCCTAAACTTAGCTCTGCACTGTCTTTGAGTAATGACTGTCTTCTTCATATAAACTCCTCTAGATGTGAGTTACCTTTTTTAAAGCATCACATCTACACCTAGGACATCAAGAGAAGAACTCGTATTATAAGCTGAGGCCCTGACTACTCTGGATTGAGTATTGTGAGGTATTTTAGGCATCACTTCAGATTATCATATTTTTTTCAGTTGTTGCATGTGGTAGTTTGAGAGAAAATGGTCCCTAAAAGGGCCATAGGGAGTGGCACTGTTAGGAGGTATGGCCTTGTTGGAGTATGTGTGACCTTGCTGGATGAAGTGTGTCACTGGGGATGGGCTTTGAAGTTTCAGATGCTCAAGCCATGTCCAATGTCATTCTCTCTTCCTGCTGCCTGCTGATCCAGATACAGAACTCTCAGCTGTCCCAGATAGGTGTCTCATCACCATGTCTCCTTTCATGCCCACCATGATGATAATAATGACTAAACCTCTTAACTGTAAACTATTCTCAATTAAATGTTTTTCTTTATAAGCGTTGCCATGGACATGGTATCTCTTCACAGTGATTGAAACCTAATACAGTGCACATTCATGAGAATAAACTTAAGTTCTACTCACCTGGGTTATGACTCATTGCATACTGTATTTGTCTAGATGTTGAGGAGGAGGGAATTTGGGAGGAGTGTAGGAGGAAGAAATTGATAGTAACTTCTTCCAGTTGCTAAACTCCATGGCAACACTGTGTAGGTGGTGAGTGTCTCACAGTAGGAGTAAATGAATCACAGGGAAACATCAATGAGTTTGGCCATTTATTGATGCCACACAAAGACAGCCTATGATTATAATCTGGTTTTAATACTGAGGTACTCATCAGGTACATAAAGAGTGTGGGAATCAGCTGGTGAGGCAGAAATGCAGAAATACAGGGGAAACAATGAGTTAACTATGGATGTCATGCCATTATTTTGGTGGGCAAAGGTAGGGAGAAATACATTTTCCCCATCACATTATTTTTAGTGACAGAGCTTAAAATAAAAATAGTAGAATTTAAAAAGTACTTGAATTAGCAACAGGAGTAGTATCAATATATTGGATTGACTATAGCACCAGGAAGCTCAAGACATGTGGCCTGTGTAAGTGGATCACTGTGGACTGAGCACCAGATAGGCTGTCCCAGAGCTTCATCTTGAGGTGAGAAAGGAGAAAGCTAAGACTTTGCACTTTTCTAGGTTAGCAATATGTAGCTTTCAGAGAACTTCAGCTAACTGAATAGTAAGGTAGAGTCTGAAATAATATAATTCCTCAAACTGCTTCGGATTCCTGATGAAGGTTGTTCAGAACAGACTCTCAGAAAGCATTGTGTTGGAAAGCCAGTGAAAACATGCTGTCATAGGAGACCAGAAGGAGCTGTTTGTGCTCTCATTTAGGAAGACCTATGACTAAATAGTTATTCCTACAGAGGAAAACAATTCTTTGTTGCAGGACATGAGTCATGATTTGAACAAAGTATTGCTATAAAGTTTCTAGGAATACTGTCTTCTTATGGCATAACTTTTGATGTTCATGAATTAAATAGCCTATAACTTTTTGGAGAAGAACTAATTCTATCACTCTGAAAAGCAATGTAAACCCAACATGATGTATTTAAGCACAAGGCCCCGTGGTGGACCTGTCTGACCCATGGTAAGAGTGTTCCAGTGTCTCCCTGAACTTGTTCACATCTTCAAGGAGTTAATGTGAAGGAAGATATGGATGAAATAAACCAAGTCTTCACGTTTGACCCTGTGAAGACACTATCCAGCTCTTGCTGTCAGTGCCATCCTGTTATTCAAAGTTCTTCTAGCATCTCAAGCATTAGATATCCATGGAAACACTGATAGCCCACAGCAGAGCAGCTGACTGATGACTGCTACAGCAAACACAAGTGACACACACCATAGGACAGTCTCATCATAGTAGGAAGAGGATGTCCATGATGCATGATCAGAGGCCTATTTTCTGTACTCAAAAAACTGGAGAAAGATCTAGAATGAAGCACCTGGCCAGACTCTCCCCACAGGCTCATACAACATGGACCTCAAATGACACGGTCTACCTTTTGCATTGGGAAATCTGGCCTACTTTAGTTTGTTGAGGTCAGTAGAAATCCAAGTTTCTTCCTGAGTTTCATAAGCCTGGTCATACCCAGGACTCTGATGTCATGTACTTTTCTCTAGAACAGTACCAGCTTAACTTAAATTCACATGGCTTACTAATTAATACTCTTGAAAGCCTATACTACTAGTCTTTGCAGAATTCCTCATAAGAAAGTCAAGTTCCCCTCTATTTTTTTCCACTAACAGAATAAGGTAAGTATTTCTGTAAAATAGCTATTTCACCAGAGATTGTCATTGGCCAGCAATGTTTTTATGTAAAGATGGAATGCAAGAATGTATGCTTAACTACACAATACATAAATTCCCTGGCTTCAGCATTTTCTCTTTTTTCTGGTATACCTTGAATTTTATCCAAATCCCAGTGTTTTATTTTCCACAGGAATTGATCAGAATAATACATACTAGTGGCTTGAAAAAGTTTAAAAGCACATACTATATAATATTATGTTTATGGTCTCAGAACAAATAAAACTGGCATTGGCCAGCAACACCATCTTACACAAAGCATATGTCGATCTGGAAGTTCGTAGACACCTAGCCATTCACGTGACTATTTGTTAACATTTCTGCTAGTTCTGCCACCTTCTAGGTATTAGCACCAAGTTCAATAGCACCACTCTGCTGAATGGATAGATAACTACAGGAAGCTGTGGGTATTGTACTCCAGAATAAAGACAATTGCATATTAGTGCATAAGTCTAAAGTATGTGATCCATCACCCGAAGGCACACATTGCCTTCTATCCTATCAAGAGCTGGTTCTGGAGTCTTTCCCCAGGGCTTGAATCTCTCAACATGCTTATCCTTTCTCTCTAGGTTCACACCATAGGCTCACCTGGAAATTTGCTCCGAGTTTGTGCTCACAGCCTACTCTGACTTCAGTAGGAGTAATGTTTAAAATCAGCATGCTAACTTCTATTTCTGTGTTCTGGACCCTTGTGACTTGCTTGCTCTCCACAAGGTCAGTTCGTCTCCATTTTTGTTTCTGTGTGTATGTGTATATTCATGCATGCATGTGTTGTTAGAGACCAAACTTACAGCCTTGCCCAACTGTGCTAAATATGCACTCTACCCCAGCTTTATATCTCTAATGGCAAAAGACTTTTAAAAGTCTCCAATGGACACAGTAAATAGGTCATCTTGCCCACTCTTTAGAACTTTTTTTTCTTATAAACTATAAGTTTCTACTAAATTCCTAGACTTGGTACAATTTACCTGATTTTGAAAAGTGGTTTAACCTGTAACTTCACTTTTTCTTTCCAGAGAGAAAAACAGGGTATGTAGACAGCCATAATCCTAGCTGTAGCAGTTTTTGTGTATCATCTTCCTGCACAAGGATGATGGCAGGATCTGAGATCATGACCCTGATAAGGACAGGGAAGGAGAAAGACTGGCAGACAGGGACATACATTTGTTCTGTGACGAGCTGA